TGGGTGGTGAGGATGGAGTTGTAGGGCTCAACTACAGCTGTGGAAACCTGGGGGGCTGGGTAAATGGAGAATTCCAGCTTGGACTTCTTGCCATAATCGACAGAGAGGCGCTCCATCAGCAGAGAGGTAAACCCAGAACCAGTTCCCCCACCAAAGCTGTGGAAAACCAAGAAGCCCTGAAGGCCTGTGCACTGGTCAGCCTGTAGAGGAAGAAAATAGAAAATGTAGTATTTTAATGCCAGGACACATTTTCTTAGTTATGAAGCATGTCAGCTTGATGTTAAGCATGATGAATTGGCAAAATAGACACATCAGCAAGTTGTCCTATAACCCAGAACTGTCTGGTTTAAAAGTCTAATTAATACAGTAAGCAGCCTATTCCACATTTTGGCAGGCACCAAAGAATGAATGTTGTCATTTAGCCACGCCACCAAACTTGCACTGGAACCCTCTCACCCCATTTTAAAAACATATTTTTATATGGTGTTTACCAGTTTACGAATTCGGTCCAAGACGAGGTCAATGATCTCCTTGCCAATGGTATAGTGCCCACGGGCATAGTTATTGGCAGCATCTTCCTTGCCTGTGATGAGCTGCTCAGGGTGGAAGAGTTGGCGGTAGGTACCAGTGCGAACTTCGTCTGGAAAAGGAAAATAAACCAGCCACCCATCACTGAGTTACCTGCACTGGCCTGCTCAGCCCTGGCAGGGGATGGGGGAGACACTGTGTGTGTGTAATCAATGGAGCCCCCAGGACAGACTTCCTGTCCCATCTCACTTGGGTTACTGAGGTCAACTCACCAATGACTGTGGGTTCCAGGTCTACAAACACTGCCCTGGGCACATGCTTGCCAGCGCCCGTCTCACTGAAGAAGGTGTTGAAGGAGTCATCTCCTCCCCCAATGGTCTTGTCACTTGGCATCTGGCCATCAGGTTGGATGCCGTGTTCCAGGCAGTAGAGCTCCCAGCAGGCATTGCCAATCTGGACACCAGCCTGGCCAACGTGGATGGAGATGCACTCACGCTGTGGGAAGGGGGAAAAACAAAACAAAACAAATCACAATTTTAAATAATCTATTGGTGACTGTCAAGCGGAAAAAAATATCCATGGAATCATTATCTTAAGAATTTCCTTATAAAAAAAAAAAATTTCTTTTTGAGACAGAGTGTCACTCTGACAACCAGGCTGGAGTGCAGTGGCGTCATCGTAGCTCACTGCAACTTCAAACTCCTGGGTTCAAGCGCTCCTCCTGCGTGTCACCACATCCAGCTACTTTTTCTATATTTTTTTATAGAAATGGGGTCTCCAACTCCTGGCCTCAAGCAATCCTCCCACCTCGTCCTCCCAAAGTGCTGGCATTACAGGGGTGAGCCACCGCAGGCAGCCACAAATTTCCTCTTTTAAAATGACTTCCTCCCATTGCTAAATCAAGGCCTCTTTCTAGACTAAGAAAAAAGCTTAGTCACAACTTCCTTCATTGGAGGACCACGATATGGAGGCGGCCATTCATCGTGCACTCAGACCCCAAGAATCCCACCTTAGACTAAGTGGCCACGTTTCCGGGCATCTCCTAGCACAGGAAACACGTGGCCAGAAAAATGCAGAAGAAATGTCGGGCCCAGTGACAAGGGCGGGGCTCTGCGGCACAGGATGAACGAGCAATTCAGGGTGCGCTCACCCGCGCCACCCTGCGGCCAATGGGGACGTGCAGCTGCAGAGGCACGCAATGGCCACGTCTGTGGGGGCGCGGCCTTGGCCACCCATCCTCCCTTGCCCACAAGCATTGGGCACAGCCTAACACTTCCACATCTGTCCCCGCGCAGTAGGGGATTATAGGCGGCCCAGATCCGATTTCCAGTCCCTCAAAATCCCTCACCGCCACCACCTGCTCCCTTACGAATTCCTAAGGCAGAAGGGAGGAACAGATGGCCTCTGTAGGCTGTTGGGAGTGAATTGTTCTAATACACTGGTGTAGTGCGGTACACTGTCAAGGAGACCTTCCTCACATTTCTTATTGCTTCCATTAAAAAAAATAAAACTCACGGTAACAGGAGACACACCCTACAGCAGGGTCTGCCGCGACCCAGCGCGCATGCGCAGACCGCAGAGGCGGTTTCCCGCCGCTCCTCGGCGGGAAGGTAACGGTCGCGCGTGCGCTTTCGTCTCCCGCTCCTTCCCACCTCCGCTTTTCGCGCAGAGGAAGTGAGGGCGGGGAGAGTCCGCGCGCGCCCGCAAAGGCGGGGGAAGGAAGGGGAGAAGGGCACGCGCAGGAAAGGATTGCGGGGCCTAAAGGCGCCGATTCCACGAAGGAGTTAGGTGTTAAAAAAGAGCTCCAAATGCGGCGGAGGGGAGCCGGCGCCCCGCCATCCTTCCCAGAGTCCGAGAAGAAACACTGGCGTCCCCCCTCTTGCCGGGCCCCCGCCATTCTCCACAAACTGAGGTCTCATCTACTCCCGCCCTCGCCTCTCGTCTCGCTTTCTGCCCTCCAAACGGAGGGCATCGGTCGCAGCCCTCTCTAGAGGCTCTCCGCACCTCTCCGGCTCGCTTTTCCCCGTTTCCCCAAATGAGGCCGAGCGCCGCGCTCGGCCCACTCACCATGGTGGCTACGGGTTAGGAGGCGAAGGCGACAGGAGCAGACACCGGGTTCCGGTTACCGTCCCCGACAAGCTAGGAGTCGAGGTAAGTAACGCACTGAGGCGGGGGCGGCGCCGGAGCCTCTTAAGTAGCGGCTGGGGAGGGGCGAGCGGGCACAGGCGGTGCGGCGGCCGCGGCCACTCCCCCGGCCCGGCGCGCCCACTCGGCGCCCGGCCTGGCCGCCGCAGAGGCGGGCTCCGCGCCCGGAGCCCCCTCCCCTAGCGCGGCCTGCTGGGCGGGGTCCTCCGCGCCTGCGGGCCGCGCGCGCCAGTGCTGCAGTCTGCGGCGCATGGCTGCAAGGGCCCGGTGGGGGACGGGCGCCGAGTCGGAAAGAAACCAACATGGGACTGGCATAGGAATGGGAGAGGAGGCTTTGCCTTCATTTGGAGGAACTCTAAGACTCGCGAAATCCATACGATTTTAAAGAAGCACTATTAAATGCAGAATTCTCATCCGGATAGCTCAGCTGATTATTTTCATGTTGCCACAGTTTATCAGTGAGTTTTGCCTCTTTATTTTCTCAGTCCTTTAAAGGCAGTGCATCCTCTACTTAGATCATAATGTAGAGGACGCGGGCTTTAGAAAACGGAATAGATTTATTTGGTTTACTGTAAAGACTTTTTCTCGAAATTAAAGTACCAAATGCTGGCAGCAAATATTATTTCAGTCATTCGAAGAGTAGTACCTAAGCTTTGAAACTGTTAAAAGGGCAGAATAGGCCCCATTTTTAGACATAAGCCATCAATTTCATGGAACAGCCCTAGGGGCTGTTAAAAATGGAGATTTAAAAACACATTTCAAACGTGATAGCTGAATTGAAGAAGTTAGGAAAAACTTGAGTAGGGAGGAAATAAATTCACACTAAAGGCTATGGGGAAGTAAGGATTTCTTGTACTATTTAGAGTTTTGTAAATAAAACTGCTTGACATTATGTCAAGATAGATCAATCGGTTAGTGATAGCTTAGTGCTTGGAGGCCCAGATTATAGTGAATAGACTAGTTCGTCGTCCCCCCTCCTCCAAAAATCTATTTCAAGACCATAAACTACATTGCTATCCTTGGAAATACATAAAGTGGCTACAGTTAAAATGTGATTTTAGAATGGTCCTAGCAGAAACCTATTGCTGTTATTAAACTTCAAAATATCTTCCCAATGATAGTGTATAAGTAACAAAAAGGTAAACATAAGACAGTAAAAATTCATAGTTCATATTCAGTTATTACCTTATTCAGATTAAAAAGCCTTCATCCTTCATTTCAGACAACTAACAAATTCACCCTATCTGTGTATTTTGTAAGGGGAGAGATATATATGTCCACCTATGTGAACCTGACCTGCAAACTGGGAGGTTCTTATTTATTTCTGATAAGTATTTTTTGTAATCCTATTAAAAGGCATTTGATTCAAAATCCAAAATTTGCACACATTTTCCAAATTGGGTTAAAAGGGGGCAGGAATATACTTGAATATTTTTCTCACTTATTCTTTTTCTCCCCTTATTCTTAAAAAGAGACTGGAAATAATTAACTTGCTTTTACTGGAAGAATGAGTGTTAGGGAACCACCCTGCTAAACTCCATTTTGCTGTGGGCTCTAGATGAAAGCCATTTGAAAGCAGGCACCTCCCTTCCAGCTCTCTGCAGAATATCAGAGCTTTCACTGAAGGATTTGCTCCTGTGGGCCTATATGTCTCCCCAGATACCTTCCTAAAACCATTAGCTTTGCTAGCCTTGTTATCTGTGTATCTGTGGTGAATGAGGAAGTATTTTGAGGGTTTTTTTCAGGTCCCTGATAATACCTCAGACTTCATAGAGTGATGGAACTAAAAGAGACCTTTAAATCTAATCTAGTCTGGTATCTTTATGCCAGAAAAATATTGGAGAATGATAAATTAATTTATTTTGCTTCCTCTTTAGTACCTGAAAGACTTAACTTTTTTTCCTTTTGCCCATACTGAACCTACATGGGTCCATTTGTTTATATTATATATGCATGTATATACTTTGTCTATATTTAACAGCTAAATAGTGGTTATTTATGTCTGGAACATAAACACAATATTATTTACTGTCTTAACATTTTGATTAATTGTATAGGTCTTCTGTTAGACTCTTTAAGGCCTGTAACTATTTGCTTTGAGTTGTTGATGTAGAGAAAAAACCCTATGTTGCAGTTTGAGCCACTCTCATCTTTGCTACGTAATATCACGGCCATTTGCTACTGTTGTAAGCAGTCAGTAACTGTTTTTGGTAGTTTCTATATTGTGGGTGAGATACAGAAGTTCATAAAATATTTTGTTCATTTTATGAGCTATACAAGGAAAGAAAAAAATAACATGGCAACAAATTACCAAGCATCAACTATTTATAAATATTTGGCCTTTGTTCTTATTTATTTCATAATATAATTGTTACAAATTTATATATGCTGTTTTGTGTTCTGCTTTTTCCATGGATAGATGTTAGCAGAAAGAAAATTGGCTTAGATGTCACATAGGACTAGATTCAATACTAACTTTGTCAGTTAGTAGTAGTATGACTTTAGGCACCTAATTACATTTCTTGAGCTTCATTTATGAATGGGAATCATCTTTTTCTCATATGTTCAATCCTGTTAGGAAATTTTGTCAGTTTATCTTTAAAATATGCTCACCACTTTTTATCCCATTACCATATTACTTCACAGCTCTTACAGAGTCTGAAATTATATTATTTTTACATTTATTTATTTGTTTACAGTTTATCCTTTTATGTAAATTCCATGTCTGTTTTTGTGGAAGTCCATCTTGGTTGTCCTTCCAAAAACCACCTTCTTCCATTCTTCCCTCCGAGAAAAACTACCCACCCCCCACTCCCACCTTTTAAAGGAACAAATCAATGCAACTCTGTTTCCCTTTGCCAGATATTTGCTTTCTCTTTCACAATTGGACCTAGTTCAATGGAACATAAAGGAAAGTCAGCTGGGGAATTTCTGGGAATAGTTTTCCTCTCAGATGAAAAGGGATTGCTCCCTTGAGGAAAGCTCTTTTGTTTTACTCCTCTCCTTTGCTTTCTGCTTTTGGAAATGTCCTTTGAAGATATGATACCTGGAGCCAATTTAAGACCTTGAGGGTCTAATGCAAAGAGAATCATAGGAATGCCAACTCAGTGGTCTGATATTGTGAAGCTGCTGACCCAATCTTAAAACACCTATCTCAAGATTTATCATTAAGGAAACAGTAAATGTCCTTATAATTTAAGCCAATGTAAGTAGGCTTTATCCCCAGTGCCTAAAACAATGCCTGGCACATAGTAGATGCTGAATATGTGATTTCTTGTTGAATATTGAACTTGGAGATTGATTGGACATGGGGTGTGAGGTAAAGTAAGGAATGGAGGTTAGTTTGCAGGTTTCTGGTTTAAATAACTGGGTGAATGGTGGTGTTTTTCACTGAGATCACAATACTGAAGTGAATGGGAAATGGAGAAGAGACATGGGAGAACCTAACAGTTCAGCTTTTGACACATTTTGAGGTTTAAGTATCTGTGGTATATATACCTGGAGATGTTTGTTACACAGACATATATGCAGATAGAGAGGAGAGAGATACAGACTTTGGAATCTTAAGCATAAAGATGATAATTAAACTGTGGGAATGGATAAGACCTCTTAGGGTGAATGTATAGAGCTAGGGGAGGGGTGGCCTTAGTAGAAAACCCTAAAGTAGAGATCCTGGCCTTAGTAGGGAATCCAAAGAATGATCATATTTAAAGTAGAGAAAAGAAGCTTATAAAAGGAGTCTGAAAAAGAATAATCAAAGAGGGAGAACTGGGAGGTCTCACTATCCAAGTAGAGAGTTTCAAGGAGTACAGTGTCAAATGCTACAGAGAGGTTAAGTAGTGTAAAGACTGGAAAATGTCCATTGTATATGTTAATAGAAAACAATACAGCTTCTATTTTTATTTATTTATTGGTCAAATATTTATTGAGAGCCTACCATGGCAAGTACTCTTTTTAAGTGTTGGGTAGATATAACAGTGAATATAAACTCCCTCATGGAGCTTATAATCTAGTGAAGGAGAAAGGAAATGAACATATAACAAAGAGATATGAAATATAATCTCAGGTACTAATAGATGCTATGAAGCAAAATAAAATATGGAATAGAGATGAGAGTTACAGAGGGGTGCCATTTTAGATACCATGATCTGGGAAGGCCTCTTTGAGGAGGTAATTATTTGAACAAAGACCTGAATTAAATGATAGAGTAGGGGGCTGGGCAAGGTGGCTGATGCCTGTAATCTTAGCACTTTAGGAGGCCAAGGTGTGAGGATTGCTTGAGTTTGAGACCAGCCTGGGCAATATAGCAAGACCTTGTCTCTACAAAAAATTAAAAAATTCACTCCTGTAATCCTAGCACTCTGGGAGGCTGAGGCGGGAGGATCGCTTGAGGCCAGGAGTTCAACATCAGCCTGAGCAAGAGTGAGACCCCATCTCTACCAAAAGTAGAAAAAATTAGCTAGGCGTGGTAGTACGCACCTGTAGTCCTGGCTACTTGGGAGGCTGAGGTAGGAGGACTGCTTCAGCCCAGGAGTTTAAGGTTGAGGTTGTAGTGAGCTATGATGATGCCACTGTGCTCTACCTGGGGCAACAGAGCAAGACTCTATCTCAAAAAACAAAAAAAATTATCTTGGCCAGGCGTGGTGGCTCACGCCTGTAATCCTAGCACTCTGGGAGGCTGAGGCGGGCAGATTGTTTGAGCTCAGGAGTTCGAGACCAGCCTGAGCAAGAGCGAGACCCCGTCTCTACTAAAAATAGAAAAAATTAGCAAGTCAACTAAAAATAGAAATAAAAAATTAGCCGGGCGTGATGGCTCGCACCTGTAGTCCCAGCTACTCAGGAGGCTGAGGCAGGAGGATCGCTTGAAGCCCAGGAGTTTGAGGTTGCTGTGAGCTAGGCTGATGCCATGGCACTCACTCTAGCGAGACTCTGTCTCACGAAAAAAAAAAAAAAAGATGTTAAAAAAAAAAATTATCTTGACGTGGTGGCACCCTAACGCTAACTCTAACCCTAACCCTAACCCTTGCTAGTAGTCCTAGCTAGGACTAGTAGTTCTAGCTACTAGGGAGCCTAGGGTGTTGGGATGGCTTGAGCCCAGAACCACAAGGTTGCA